GGTGAAAGGATGGGCCATGGTGAACTGAAAGCCAGGGAACCTGGCATTGCCTTGGGCTTAGCATGTATTTTCTCAGGAGATGTTGAAAGATGCAAAAGTCCTTGGCAAAGAGTCTTTGGGAAGAGGAATCCCATGGGAATCTACAAAGTTCATATCATTAGTGTTTACTGTGTAGAAACAAAGAAGGTGAATGCAATAGTTCTTTCAGCTGGAGTCATCTTGCATCAGTACCTAACTGATCCCCTCCCTTGGCCAGGTCAGGGACTAAATAGAGCTTTGTCTGGCATTTCTCAGGCAGGAGGGGTGCCAGGCTGCTGTCTGGGGAGCTGCTGAATTGCAGAGATGAAATTAGAATGTCATTACAAGGTGTGCAGCACACCTTGTACCAACAGAATCCAGACACAAAGGGCAAACTAAAGTCCTTCCTTCTTGGCATCTTGTTGCTGCAGTGTGTTTCTTACAGGTCTAATTACCTGAAAGCATCATAGTTGTTTCATCTGTGTCCTAAAATACTACTTTATGAAGCAATTAAAGGCAGAATTGTACTCTGAGATTACTGCAAAAGCGTCTGCTTAAGGTTCGTTTTAGATTCATTACAAGCCTTCAGAAGCAGTACTCCTGCTTTTAATAAAACATATGGTTTCCTCAAAAGCAAAACTGTGCAAGATCACACACCCTTTTAGATTTGGTGACGTAGGTGGAATTTTAATGTCAAAAAAACCCAGAAGGGCCAGGCAATCCCAATTCACTGCAGAGATGGCAGTGTATCTTTAAAAACTGCAGGACACTTTACTTGCCAGCACATATACATAACTGTTCATACAATAGGTAAAATTTCTTTGGAAAAGAATGAGCAGTTTCCCTTCTGCACAAGTGATAACTATGGTCAGGGAACTTTCTGGGGTCTCCAGTTCCTGCTTGGGGAAAAAGGGGACCCTTCTTTCAGGTGAATGCTGTAACTACTGAGAACTTGACCTGTTTAGATCAGACATGAATCTTTTTCCTGTTTTTTATTCTCGCACAAAAATGTCTGATCCCTTGAAAAATTTCAATAAAGGCATTTTCTGCCTTATTTAGTCTATGAACTGTATTAAAGATGTGCTTGGCTCATTATACACAGCCACATCCCTGATTTGGGCAGCTTCCGAGGGACTGGGACATACCATGATGGAGAGAAGATTTAAGGCAAGGAGAAAGTAGGGTTACAGACAGGGTGATTATGCAGCTACTGGGGTGTTATTTTTCACTGCAGGGAGAAGCTGAGGACATATTTGCTTGTTTGTTGATACATTCTTCAGAGAGAATAATTGGTACATCCATGACCAGCAGTGGTCCCCAGACTCAGCTTTTTCCTCCTTTTTGTGTGAAGCATTTAACCATCCCTCCTTCCCCCCCCCTTCTAGTTTTGCTCTGGAAAGGCTGCAACAAATTTCAAAAGAGAGAGAGAGGAGCAATATGAGAAAAAAAGAAAATGCTCCACTTCCTTCTTTAATGCACTGCAACTGTGAGGCCTGTCAAGCAAAGGACAAGCAGAAACCCTGAACAATAGTCACAGACTCCCTAAGAGGGACAGTTGTCAGCATCCGTTCTTTCCAGCAGCAAAAAATAAAACATGCTCTATTTTGAGGCAGCCAGCAGAACACAGAGAGTGAGTGACCTGCCACGAGAGCAAAATGCAACCGAAAAATCTGGAGAAATTACTTAGGAAAGCTCTAGTTCTCTCCATGCCCTGGAAGTGTATGTACAAGTGAAGGAGAATTATGTATGGAAGAGAGATCACCACTCATCCTCATGTACAGCATGTAGCCATAGTTTATCAACCACAACTACAGCCTGTCTTTTCTGAAGTGTGGCTCAGCAGGATGGCTGACTTGCAAGGTTTCTGTCCAGCTGTGACCTAACAGGTGGGCTGACTCAGAATGAGAGGTCGGCAGTAGGCACCTAAAAGAAGTGGTTTCCATTCATACCACAAAGTTCCAGTTATGCTGACATGTAAGGAAGGACTGGACTCCTCCTTCTCCTCCTGTTAAGTCAGGAAAAAACCCCAGAATTATTTTACAAGGTACCAAAACTTGCTAGCTTTCCAAAACCAAGCTAACAAAAAAACACACCCATGTAGAAAAGGAGAACTAATTAAGATTAAGTCATATCTGAATAAATATGCAAATTAAAAATCAAAACAAAGAAATTCTGTTTATCACATCATGAAGTTGCAAATTGCTGTTGTGGCTCCCATCGGCTGGAATAGATGAGGGCTACGAGGCCATAGGTTTTGAAGATCAACCACATGTTTTATTATGATAGCTGGGGGACTGTTGGCTGTAGGTATGTTACTTGCCTTCCCCCCACCTCTTCTGTACTGCATTCACGTTCAGTGGTATTCATAGACTATATTTGTCTTGGAGTTCTCTAATGTAGTGTCATTGGTTTTCCTCTTTGTTTACCTTCTGTAAGACAACATCATTATTCTTTGGTAAATCTGTTTCATATCCCCTGGGTTGGATTTTTTTTTTGTTTGTTTCTTTCTCTTTTTTTTTTTTTTTTTGAGGAGGGTGGGGTGAGGAGGGAAAGTGAATTCTTTTGCAGCTTTTAAAAATCAGATTAAAAACAAATGAACAAACAAAAAACCACCAATACTCTCTTGGAAAAGAAAGCAATAGTCTAGATGCTGGTGAAACCACTACTATGGTCAGTACTAACTGGCTTGCTCGTTCGCTGTCACAGAAAAGGAGCAAAGGTCAGAACAAACTAGGAGGAAAGTCTTCTTCCCTGACCTCTAAATAGGGTCTAAGCACATCCTCACTTGTGGGGAACCTCTCCCTGCAGTGTCTCTCCCCACCGTTGAGTTGTCATGGCCTTGGTGTGTCCTGTGTATGCAGGTAACAAGGGAGAGTTTTGATATCCATTACAAAGGTTTTATGCATAAATACTTGCTTCCTAAAGACTGTCCCTTCATTCTTCAATGTAAAGAAATGGCAGTTTTCTTTGCTTTTTGTCTTTCATTCTCGTTTGTTGTCTTCCAGATTTCCCTTCCATAGCAAAGTGTTTGTGTGGTAGAAGTAATTTTCCCCTTTTTCTCATAAATAAAGTCCTAAAATCATTTAAGTTATTGAAAAATTTAGAAGATCCTGTTACTGGGCTTCCCAGATTTAAGTAATAATAGGGACTTCTTTTTTTTTATTGTTATCCCATTGACGCAAATGTTTGACCTATAGTTCCTAGGTTGCAAACTGTTCCATCTGTAAAATATAAGTGAGCTGAGTAACATCTATGTTCTGTCCCAATGGCATTAGCAGCTCCTTCAAAATGTGCAAGTGCAATATTGAAAGCAGGTATGCTTTGGATCTTTTTGATTGCAAAGTTGCAAGAGCAGGACTTATAAATGAAAACTCTGGTTCCCCCGAGTTTAGTCAGCTTTGAACCTTATCATAGGTACTCAGTATCAAGGTAACTCATGCCATGCCTGCATATGAAAAATAAAAGAAGAAATCAAACCCACTGGTCAGACTCAGTTGGGACCACTGCTGTTGCTGTTTGTGCTGGGAGGATTGTCCTAGTTTGTTTGTTTTGTTTCATGTCACATCCTCATTTTTAGTATGAGTTCCTCCTGACCCAGATTTCTGAGCAGACTAAGTAGAGCCAGAAACTGTAAAAGTGCATAATTATTCTTTTATTTATTTTTAAGCTGTACAGCTCTATTAAGCTTTCAGAAAATCTTTTATACCCAGCCTTTGAAGTAAACTAACCCAGAGATCAGCAAGAGAAGAAGTGGGTTAACACTGCTTGTTTCTGCTTGCAGAATAGTCTGTATACAGTTAAGATCTGGAGTCTGAGCTAGGAAAATCTTACTCCTTTTTTGGAGTGCAGGAGAGGAGGGATCAATACATCCAAAAGCAATACTTTACACCTTTGGTATGTTCTGAAACCTCAGATGCTGACACTGCTGTGAAACAGCTGAGAGCTGGAAGATTATTCTGGTTACTGACATGTAAATGAGCAGACCACACATTAAAGCTGTGTATGCTCCATCTGCTAAGCCATTTATTCTTCCCAGGTCGGGACAAATGAGAAACTCTGGCCCAGAGGTGGGATATTATTATTCCTTTCCCAGTCCCCCAAAGCAGTACGTTCCCCTGCTTTGAGTCTGATTGAAAACATTGACCTGGAGGTGACAAACGCACCGTCTGTCCCCCTGATTCATCCAGACTCTGACCCAGGCAGCACTGAAATCACAGGCTTCTTTCTGGTCTCAAAAAATTACCCAATGGCAAGAGGCCAAGCTGGGGTAACCTACCTTTCTGAGAACCAGACAATGTGACTGTGATATCCACTTAGAGTCTTTCCTCAGCCACTCAGGCTTGCCTCTGAATTTGGCCCTTCTTCAGCAAGTCATGCTGTCTCAGCCTTTCCATGCTTTTCCCCAAATACAACCACTCCTGGTGCTTCTGCCCTCTTTTGAGCCAGTGTACTTGAAGATCCAAGAGCCTTTGTTTTTTGTTCATGCTGCCTCTTGTTAGCAGTGCTCTGAGCTTGCACAGAACAGGAGGAAAAGATGCCAAAGCACTTCAACCACCTGGATTAATTAGGTCTTACACTAAATGTGGAACTACAGCGAGGTGGATGATGATTAAACCAGCAACCTTCTGGAAAGTGAATACCTTCTTCTCTGCTATATTTCAGCTTCTGTAACCTTGTAAGTGCCTCAAGGCAAGAACGGTGTTGTCTGTATGTAAAGCACTCTGCTTCTGTATAAGCAATAGAACTAATAGTGATAAGAATAATAATGATTTTACTCCTGCGAGGTTGGTAAGTATCAGTCTTCATTTTACAGATGATGAAACAGACACAAAGACATACAGGAGCTTGCTTAGTGCCATCTCATCCCTTATTAACAGAGCCAGGATTGAACCTAGAAAACACATTTCCCTGTTGCTTGCTCTTACCCCTGAGAACACTCTCTCTTTTGGTGACGTCCAGTCTCTCTTGTGATTTTTCTGCAGAAGGTGCAGCAACAGCAGCTTGGAGTCTGATGATGAACCTCCTTGTGTGGAAGAGATCGATTACAATACTGACACTATCTCTGATTGCGAAGAGGACTTCTCAGAGCTAGATCAAGAGATCCAGGAGTCCCTCTCGTGGGTGGAAGGCGAGAGAGAAGATGAGGGAGTGACCACAGGACAGACATGCAGCTCCAGGGCTCTAAGGGGGCTCTACATTTCCAGCCAGCCAGCCCCCAACAGTACAGCTCTTCCTCTGGGTTCAGCAGCGCTTGGGCTGTACAATGGGTTCAAGAGCAGCCCTGTGTGAACAAGGCTGTGACTTGCAGGGCAGCAAGTGAATGGGTCACTTGTCATGTTTACCTGTTTGCCAGCTTCAGCATCCTTCCCAGATGTGTTGCTTCAGTTCTGAATGGAAAAATGTGTGTTTGTGTAAGTTGTGTAAATACGTCATTTGGGAATGACTCCGTATGTGTACACCAGGCAGAGTGAGATGCCACTAGCCCAGATGGTACTATGTGAGTTCATCCTTTCCTAAATATAATCCCCAGTTTCCTGGATGCCTCTAGTATGAGGTTTCATCCAGACTGACCTAAGGAATGGTATGTTGAGACCAAGGAACCAGAGACAATTCTCCTTTTCCTACATTAGGCCTTTGCCTTGAGAAGGGACAGTTACTGATGCCTTTTGCCAGAGCTCTCTGTTGCCATTCATTTCTCTTGAGCTGTAGAGCATGGATCTTATTTCTGTCTGATCGGAATTTTTACAATGTGTTCAACAGGTTGGGTCAGGCTGTGCGTGTTTCTGAGCTGGTTATATCTCAATAACAGCATAGGAAATCTAATGTGCCATAGTAAGGAAAGCAGCAGTAACAATACATAGCAAACCTCTGGAAACCTGGGCTAAACTGACCAGTAGATTAGTCATGGTGGCAATATCCAAGAGTGAATTTAGCCCAGGCATCAATCAGAACAGTTTCTTTAATCCCCAAGTGGAGAAAAATTTGATTTCTCCTAAAATTGCCTTCAAACACATATCCCATTTCCTGAGAATCCGTCACAGACTGAGAACCCACACATGTTCCCAGTATCCCGAAAGTATGAGATCACATCACTGCATCTCACACTTCACATTGCCTGAACTTCTCATGTGTCTTAGACTCTGCTGCTGCAAATGGGGAATTGTCTCAAATCCAAATGGAACTAACTGTATGATGCAAGAGGCTCACAACTCTGTCACTGCTTTGTGAGGCTCACGAAGGATGAACGTGTGTTGTAGCATTACAGCCTGCAAGGACTCCAGTGATTACCAGTGATGATTATTATTAATATTGATGCATGATTAAAAGCACCATGTCATCCTTCCATTTCTATGCTGTTTGTGGAGAGAATTCCTAGTGCAGAACAAGGTTCTCTCTCGTGTTTCTGGACACCCTTCCTCAGACTACCTAGACGTATTTTTCAGCAGGAAACTATGCTTTAGACAAAAAGCTTCTTCCTATCCTCCTAGGTTTTAAATATCCACATATTTTAAAGTCTTCACTAGCACATAAGAGTTCCCTGTGACTCTATTATGATGCTCAAAAGACAAGCAGCTTGGGTCCTTAGAAGCTGAGCTTCTTAGCCCAAACTAATTCATTAGGTGTGGTGTGTGTCCCTGTACAGATGTCCCATTCTGCTTGTTTTAGTGTGCAGCTTGTTGCACACAATATGGAAATTTTCATAAAAGGTTGGCTCACAGAAAGGGAAAAAAAGAGGTAAAATAGGTGTTCCCATTATAATAGTTTGTATAATACTACTTCAAAACTTATTAATAAAAAACAATATATGTGTATATTTAGGTTAAAAATCCAGCATTTGTAGTCATGACAAAAACCTGACACTGTGCTAAGTCCTGACAGCAGCATATACTGGCCATGCTGTGGGGTCTTCAGCATTCAGAGCATCCTCGGGACACAGGGCAAAGAATACTGTTGTACATATATGTGTCTGTAAATGTGCCCATACACACCCATGCTACATTCTGTACCAATGCTCTGCCACAACAGCAGCTGAACGGTGCTTGCTCAGGCTAACCAATGGTACACTCTATGCAAAGGAAAAAAAATCTTAAATCAGCATTTTTCCTAATGACACACCAATATTTTGGCTATAACTTTCTAGCTGTTTCATTCTGAATGTTTTAGGATAGGGAGAATTCAGTTTAGTGGGAATATTCTGCCCTGGTCAATGAACTGCACAAGAGTTGTCCTAATATAATAAAAGCAGAGATGTATCTTCCATGTGTATTAGGAGCCAAATGTGTATGAGCAGTACCACTGTTCCAGAGACCCCTGTGCTAGGAGCTGCAGGAGGTAGAGAGATGGCAAAGGCCCTTAAGGTGTTTCCAGGGTCTGGGATCCAAGTGCAGCAGCCGAGCTGGGAGCAAAGTGTCCCTGCACATCAACCACACCTGCTTAAATGCTGCTGTGCAGTATGAAAAGCCTGGCCAATCTCTTGTCTATGGCAGCATCCCATGTCTGTGCCAAACAACTTGTCAGCAAGTAGTGAGGGTGCTGCAGAAGGCACTGGCCACATGAACCCTGTGGCCCAAGGGTGCTCAGCCTCCTGCTGAAGAAGTGAAGCGGGAGGGCTGGGTGACCAACCACTTGGGAATGGCACCTGGAAACCTTCGCGAGAAGAAGTTTTGTGGGCTGCCTCATTTCTTCCAGGAACTTCTACAGGGAGCAGATGCTCCTCTTCTTTTAACAGACCTCTAGAGGTCAGGAGAACGCCTCCATGTGCGCCGCGCACTCCACGCTATTAAAATTCTCCCTGAGTCATGGTAATTAAGCAGAACTAGGCTCTGCACAGAGGAACGGAAGTGCATTGACTTTAATAAAACAGAGTGTAAAACAACTTTAGATTAACTCCAGCCTTGTTTATTCTTGCACACTTGTAATTCTGGTTTGGTGTTGCCCCGGTGAATGAAGCCGTTGTCCTCCGCGCTGAGGCATGTCACCTCACTTCATCCTGCTAAGTGCTGAGCAGCGAGGCCAGTGCCTTTTCCTGCTGTCGCTAGCTAATCCCAAAGAATTTGGAAACAGCCGATGGAGAAAGGGAGGGAGGAGGGGGAAGTTGCCCTGCTCCCCACCGTTTTGTCGTTCCTCAAGTGTCAGCAAGGCTGTCAGGTTGAGACTCAAGCCAAATATTTCCATAATGACCAGAAGAGGTGGTGTCTTAGAGGCACTTGCCTCGTCCCCACTGCTGCAGCAGTTTTGGGCTTCTGCCAGGCACATTAACTTTTTTTACTGATGCCTTTTGTCTCACTGACTCTCTTAGTGGCTGTGAATAGATGCACTCTCCTTCCTCCCCCCCGTGGTTTACATGACATGGGTAGAAGATGCAGTGCTGAGCCCTGCACTACACTGCAGCCTCTGTCTCAGCCCCTCACCAGCTCTCAGGCTGCCTGGCCACAGTCGCCTTTTCCTGTCAGAGACGATCCAAGGATGACTTGCCAGTGTCTAGTGAAATACATGTGTGTGTAAACCTCTAGGCTAAAAAATAAATAATTAAACAATATAAAGAAAAAATAATCAAGTCAGCAAACTGAAGGAAGAACAAAATCTAATTAGTTTTATCTGCTGTTTGTTATGAGTCTGTCAGAGTGCTCTATCCCCTAGTTTTACAGCACTCTGGAAAATAACAGTGATAATAATAATAAACAACCATGCACTGAGTTGTTTTTGAAGCAGGCAGAAAGGAGATTAAGGAGGGGGGAAAGACAGCAGCCCTGCTCCTCCACTGCTTCTCTCCTCCTGCCAAACAGCAGAGATGTGGGTGATAGTGCTATCTCCTGTCTTATCTGTCCTTGGACAAGATCCACTGCCCCTTTTCCATCCCTTGGAGATGGAAAGCATGAGTCGGCGACTGCTTGGTAGCAATTTGGGACACTCACATTGTATTTCTTGCTCTGCCACAAATCTCTTCTGTGCTCTTGACCAAGTTGTTTTTGCTTCCAGTCTCCATTTCAATGTGAGGTACAAACAAGGCTTTGATTCCTCATGGAAAACACAGTAGTGAAAGTAGGTGTGTGTTTTTGGAGGAAGAAGTGGATAAAATGGGGATGTAAAACTGCCCAGGTGTTTGCTCTATACTGATGTCAGCTGATGAGAAGGGAGCTGGAATTACTCCTTGCAGGATGGTGGTGGTAGTTGCCATCACGGCTTTCCATTTCAATGACATGCAGCAGGGTTTCTCTTTAAGCTGTGCTGGATAGTTTGAAAAGCCTCTCTTTGCAGATTATCAGCCTATCCTGGCATGTGGCCTGGTCCTTACAGTGTGGAAGTTTTCACACCTGTTTTAGGGAGAGCAGGATTTAACCCTGTGTTTGAAAACTCTTGTATGGTTTTCCAGGCATAGGGCTGGACACAAGGCTCCAGCTGGAGATAATATGCAAAAGTTTGAAGAACTAAAATCCCTGTACATATAAGCACATTGGGAAAAGATGAAGAAGGATAAAGAAATAAGGTATAATTCAGAGAGGAAGGAAAGGACTCAGTGTAGGGAGAGGAATGAAGAGAGCAGGAGGGAATAGGAGTAGGGGGCATTTGGGGGAGACACAGGCAGAGAAATGGGAGAATTGTTCCTATTTGTGCATCCTCTTCCGTCCCCAGATAATGTGTCAGTATTAGTGCTACCAAGAAACAACCCTCTTTACTGTAGAATAAATCTGCCACTGTATTCCCCACTCCATAAACGGCAGCCAAGTCCGTATCCTCAGCGCTGCATTGTGTGCTCAGCACTGGGTTTTGTGAGTGCTTTTCATGACAGTTAAGCCTGTATCATTTCTGGCCTTAGGTTTCCTCTCCAGGGACTCACATCCTCAGACAAGTCCTGGAAGATCCATGGTGTATTATTGTTGATGAAGCAGTTTGTGGCTACTTTCTTCATGTTTTCTTTTCTTTGCTTCTTCTATTTCACTTTTAAAAAGCGGAAGGGAGGGAAATGAAGGAGGTGAACAGGAGGGAGTGAGACAGAAAGGAGAAGTCAGAAAGAAGTGCCCTGCTATCAATCTAGCAAGATCTCCAGAAAGATTGCAAGGCAGCTATTTTAGCGTCAGAGGCTTTTTTAGCCGTTAATTAGGCTGCTTGTAGCTCATTCATGGACCAGCGAGAGGGGAAGACAAATCTACAACTAAAAAAATCATCCATTGGATGCTCTGGCAATAACTCTAATCCCAGTAAAGTGCCACAGCATTTGGCTAACTGAGCACTGGGCACTGAGGGCTGGCTCCTCACCAGCTGATCTAATTGCAATCACAACCCTGTTTCTTGCCCCCTTGCTCCTAAACGCCTGACTGACGGCTTTTCCTGAATGGTTTCCAGTGCATGCTTTGGCAGCTCCTGCCTTTGCCTCAGCATTTCCATAAAAAGTCATTTAGCTTTTCTGTTTGTTTCCCTGTCTATGAAGTGGAGTTATTAATATTTATTTTTGGTGAAAGGGGTCAAAATGAGGTTTAAATCTCCAGTGTTTACAACACAATTTGATATCCTTAGGGAAGGCAAACAGGAGGGATTAAATGCTGCTTCCATCATATATCTGCCATCACTGAAATGAAAATACTGCCCATCACTGTGATCATTGTTAACTCCTTTCCAGAGGTCGTCGTGTTTCCTTTGGTCTCCATGGAAGGTGGCACAGGTGGGTCAGACAAATCCTCGAGGTGAAAGCATGGACAGTGTCGACAAAAAGAATTTGGATTTTTTGACAGCACAGCAGTCTTCCAAGAACCAGGCAGCGTGCTGGTTAGTGAGTTGGGAAAATGGGAAATTTAATAGAGGTGAAAATGAGGCACTTGGGAGAAGAACGGAGCAATCTGGTAAACATCTGAAATGTCTCTGCCCAAGGGCTAGGAGTGTAAGGGCTAAACAGGATGAATATAAAGCCTTAGTACATATACCAAGCTATGAGTTAATCAGCTTCCCAGACACATGGAAAAGAGAAAGTAGGAACAGCAGAAGAAGGATTAATTGGCTGTGAAACATCAGGGAATTGGTAAGTTGAGTCAAGGAAAGAGGAACACAGGCCAGCAAGCACTGACTTAGAGATTAGAGCAGAGGTGCAATGACTAAGGCAGGGAGAAGAATATAACAAAAGGGAAACACTGAAAGTGTGTGAGGACCTCATTAATGCCTTGAAATGAGAAATTAATTGTTTCTTAAAAATTGAAGCAGCAGCAGATTAGGAATGAGAACATAATGATACCAAGGACGTGTGGATGAAATCAGAAAGGTCCCGGCACAGAACAAACAAGAGGTGGCTTAGGAACACACAAGGGAAAAAAAAAGAAATCCTATAAATATGCTAGAAGGAATCAAAGCATTCATGATGTACCACAGCAGGAGAGCACAGGCAGAGTGTTGGAGTCCTTACTGCCTTTTTAACTCCCCTTATCACTAAAACAGTCACTGCTAGATATGCATAACAGAAATCATTCTGATTAGAGGATGGGAACGGGCCAGAACAAAGGGGTGTAAATTAAGAATCCTTACACTGACTAAGTGAATTCAAACTGTAGGAAGTGAAGGAATTTCCCTGCTGATTGCCCAAGGAAAGCAGTCTGTGAACAGTTAGGAATGGACTTCAAGAACTTGTACCATATCAAGAGGGTTCTTTAGAGCAGAGAAAGACAAGTAGGGTATTTGTGTAGATAGAAAAAAGGAATAGCCAGGAAATTTAAATCAGCCAGCTAAGCTGAGTGACTACAAAAAAACCTCGACAAATTATGAAACAAACAATTCGTTAGCTGCTATAGGATAAGAAGGTGGTAAAAGAGAATCAACATGGATTTGTCAGGCTGATCTAATTCCCTTCTTTTATTGGCTAATTGGCTTAGAGGATAAGGCAGAAGTAACATATGTCTTTGCTTTAGGAAAGCTTTCAATACTTTCTTGCATTACATTTTCATAAAGAAATAAAGAAGTATGGTTTATATGAAACAATTGTAAGGAAGGTGAGGATTTCCTTTTGAGAGACAGGTTTTACCTCCAAAAACTTTAGCTTTCTAGAAGTTAGGCATCTGGAGAGGAGATAACCGAGAGGAAACCACATCAGTGTCTATAAGTATCTGAAGGAAGAGTATCAAGGAATTGGAGCCAGGCTCTTCTCGGAGGTGCCAAGCAAGAGCATGAAAGGCAATGGGTAGAAACAGGAACACAGGAAGTACCATCTGAATATGAGGAAGAACCTCTTTACTGGGAGGGTGACTGAGCAATGGAGCAGTTTGTCCAGAGGGGTTGTGAAGTCGCCTTGCCTGGAGATATTCAAAAGCCATCTGGACACAATCCTGAGTGATGTGCTCTTGAGGACCTTGCTCAAGCATGGAGGTTGGACTAGATGACCTCCAATGGTCCCTTCCAACCTTATCCATCCCATGATTCTCTGATCTAATCTAAATTATTCCGTACAGAGTAAATGCAGAGAAACAGATACCTCCAGAGGATCTACATCCTCTCCTAAGATATGTGAAAAGGATCATTTGCTGAGCTATTTTCTTGCCTTATTAACTTCTGAGTGGTTAAACTATCAGCTAAGACAAGACTCCTGGCTTTAAACCCACTCCAAGAAGATATCCCAAAGTCACAATTGCAGGGCATTATTTTACTTAAGTAATTGGGAAACTACAGTGGAAAATCCATTTGCTTTTTCAGAGAATCCCATATCTTTTTGTTGAACTCAGTTCCATGTTCACACACCTCTATTTACATCAACTCACCTGCCAACCTTACCTTCAGCCTCACCTGCACAGGGCTCTGCTTCAGAGCTCCCCGCACCCAGCTCTGTAACACCATCCTTTGCTCTGACAGTTCCATTC